TATACTTTTCCTGGAATAATCTATGCACCAATAGAGTATCTTTGCAGGAGCTTCTTGGCATTCTGGCTACTTGCTATTAAGCTAAGGCTGAAAATCAAATTAATCGGTCTTACCAGAAAGAGCTGGAGAACAAAACTGCCCTCACAAAACTGTCCCCCGGGCTCTGCTCCACACCATCCTCTCTTCCATAATCAGCACTTACCCTACACACAGAAGCCCTGATGCAGATTATGGATCAGAAATCTGCCCTCTTCATTCTTATGGCCATCACTTTTCATGTCAGCATCTCAAGGTCTTGCTTAATCCCTAGGAGTAGGTATATACACATCAGTGCTACCCAAGTTTACAGACAAAAAGGTGGAACTACTCATAAATTACTTGTCTCACACCAAGTAACAGAGGGATTTTAAAGTGTGGATCTGTGCTCTTTCCACTAGAACACCACTTGTGTTTTGTCAGGTAAATGTTTTAGCCTGTACCCACAGAACAAGTAAGGAAAGCAGCCAGCCACTCTCCTTAGATGTTTGACAGGAACAGATAGTTATCTCTGTGACTGGCTTTCACAGTCACAGTCATTATGCTCCCTGGGGTATTTTACATTTAAAATGCCTATGTAGTTACTTAAGTAAGGAAAGCAGCCAGCCACTCTCCTTAGATGTTTGACAAGAACAGATAGTTATCTCTGTGACTGGCTTTCACAGTCACAGTCATTATGCTCCTGTGGTATTTTACATTTTAAATGCCTATGTAGTTACTTCTGCAAGCTTCTTTACAAAAGAAGTAAATTAACATCTGTTTTTCCACAGCCTTACTTAAATTGATGCCAAAGGGTCATCTTTTAGTGAGCTAAAAAAACCCAACTAAACAACAAAACCCAACCCAAACCCAAAATAAAACCCCCCAATAAACCAAACAATCAGAGGAAAAGAATAGGAATAAATTACTAAATACATTCACTGAAATATAGACTAGTTCAGAATTAAGTCCTCTATCTGTAATTCAAAATGAAGAATCCAGTACAGGACAACTTATAAATGAAAGTTAGTGGGCAGATCAGTGTGAATTTTAAGACTGTGAGGATCACTGATGTTACGTTTTTGACCATATTCACCACAATACAGTCTTATCATCTTTGCTATTTAACTTCAGCAACAGTGTGCTCACCACAGGACTCGCCTAGTTTCTCTATCTATATGTACATTATGGCTCTGTATTTCTCTGCTTTCAGATGAAATAATTCTTAACCCTGTATCCAGCTTCTACAAGTTACTATTGCTCACATGGCACAGGAATTGTAAAAAGAGGAACAGATCTCTCAAGACTGAGACTGTGTAGTGTTTGAGGATTACAGGCATCAACAGCTGAGGTTTAATGTGATAAACCTCTATGGTTTAGGCATAGGAATGGTGAAACTAGCGTTACTCTGGCTTTACTACAGGTTACAATTTTATAATTAATCTTGTCTTTATCTTTTCTATGATACTTTAAAATGCAGAAAGCTATGTTGGTCTGACAAGGTAGCATCTTTATTGTCATTCTATGTGTTCCCCAAGGCTACAAAAGAGACATTGGCTTCCCATACACAGGTGTTACTTTATACAAAAATTTCTTCTTGTTCAAAACCAAATTGGTTTTAACTCCCACAATAGAAGATGATCAAATATTATGAGATGACACATTCCCACTGGGAATGTGGATTCAGGAAAAAGCTGAGCAGCAGGTTACAAAAAGCAAAGCGCTAAAACCTTCAGTTAAATCATTCTGTAAAGAGGACTGGGTTCAGCTACATGAAATCCTCTACAAAAGACAGCGTCTGATGGAAAACCTTTTGAAATGGACAACCAGACTTCAGGAAATTCAAAATTCATGAAGAACTGTAAGGAAACAGGTTAAAGAACTGCATTGACATTCCAATTTAACATCTGACATGTAAGGTATATCACTATGTGATGTACTCCAGCTGACAGGCTGCACTCAGTGGGAGTCAGGCACCATCTGAGAGCTTTGTGAATTGGGTCTGGAATTTCTGACAACGTGAATGAGGCTTATGGAAAACTTCAGCATTTATACAGGAGCTTCTCCACCAACACCTGTGTTTAAGACAATCCTTAATGCACTTCTTATATACCCAAGTTTCATTTGGGTTTTTTTCCCCCGTGAGTTTCCCAAGACAGTAAAATTCGGCAAAAAGTCTCCTTCCAGAAATATTTCCCTTCCCAAACATCTAAATGCTCTGCAGCTACTGCCTGAGTGTGAAATGACTTCGGCCAAAGGGAGCAGAGAAGATTGCAAGTGTTTGAGTAACACCTTTAAATGTGCCACTGCTCTTTAGCTGAGTCATGCCAATTAGCCACAGCCATACTCCTACCTAAGCTGCCATTGCGAAATGCACTTTGGTATCTAAGCCACCATGGAGAGGCAGCACATTTGACTTCGTGCTCACAACAGCGTAGGCTCAGAGAAGATTATTTCACAGGGTGCAGCAGTGTGACTTTTCAGGCAGCAGTAACTAGGTCATTTGCAACCATCTGCTCTTCGCCTCCGTCTCCCCATGGCCACCACCGAAGCTGTGCACTGATTAGTTTTCAGCTGCTAATCAGTGGAAATACCCTCTGAAACTCACAACTGTCAACAGCCTCTGGACCCCTGAGGGGCAGATGTGATTACCAGTAAAGGTAAAATGTTTTCTCTGAGAGAAGATCCCCTGTGAGGCTTCTGACCTGCCCTGTGTGCAACAGCCCTGAAAAGAACAACATACTCTTCATCTCATTCTTCAGGCAAAGAACAGAGGGTACGTTGACAGCTGCCTCCAACTCTCCAACAAAGTATTTAGGCACCTTGTCAGTTTTGATCTGAGGAATCAAGCATCTAAATGCTTGAAGATCCGAACTTGAAAGACCTGCTTGAGGTCTCATGGGAAGTCTTTGAGGGACCATGGAAGAAATCATGTTTTCCCAAGTCCCAGGTAAGCATCCCAACCACTGCAACATCTCTCCATGTAGCTTACTACAATGTCATTGAAACTTCATCTTAACCTGTGGGAAGATTAATACATAGCTCCAAGCCAGAATGGCTGTATTTCATTTGTCTTGAAGACTTTGAAAGCAAAATTCATAACACCATATGCTCTTCAAACCCACCAGCTTTACCAATGGCACAACCTTGGGTTTCCTTGCATACATGTTTCCCACGTATATATCTACTATTCCTTTTATAAGTTAAAAACCACTAATAAATCATATTCTTTGAACGAGTTGATTTTATCATCATGGAATGATCCTGCTTTAAAAACCAAACCACTGCATTATCACAGTAGTGTTACTTTGACTTAATGGGTACTGTAAAAGGAGCCAGAGGAAAAACTCATGTAGATAAACAGTGAAAGAAAATACCTGTAGGCCCATGAAAGGTGCTCAATGAGAAACAAATGGTAAGAGATTATGATCGAGTTTCTCCACTGCTGGTTGCAATTCTGTATCACAGTACCTCAGCTAGAGCTCAGAGCAGTATCGTTTATAAGGTGTGAACAGTGTGCAGCATTCATACAGAGCATGTAGAGTCCACATGAAATAAAGCCAACATAACAGCTCACAGAAACTATTACTCACTCTCATGAATAAGTAACCACTGTGAACAGTAACCAGCTAAACAGGACAGCTCCTAAAGCATAGCAAGGACAGTTCCTCCCAAATTCCCCATATGCAACATCGGCCCAGTGACTGGTTATGGTTGTCAGCTCACCTGTACTCAGCTGCAGTCAATCGATAAGATACTTGCAACCCCATCAGCAAGGCTTAGACGTCATTCTAAGGGATGTATTCTGTAATTCCTGCTTTTGCAGATGTATGACAACCATATAATACAGCAGAATTAAAGGAACCAGAAAATGAGATCCTCAGAGACTGATTGTTTGGGTTAGAGGGTCATATGTAGCGTATCTCAGGCTTGCAGCTGATGCTGCAGGGATGCAGCCAGGCATCTCTGCGCAGCTGGTTACAGGGCTGGGGTCTAATGGCCACAGTGCCACGCAGGTAAGACATGAAAATGCACTATGCCCTGGATCCACGTATGGTGAAGTTCAAAACCAGGATCCCAAATAAAATTGCCTCATCTTTATGAAAAGCAGAGGTCATCCCTGCACAGATATATTAAAAATACTGTTTTTGGGGCACAAACAGGGAAAACTGAAAAAGAAAGAATAAACATCGCGATGGGTTATGAACTCCTGGGATATGAACTGCAGATGTGAAGAGGCAAAAGGAGCAGAGCTATTAGCACTGAACTCTGACTTTGATGTAGACCTGCACCCGAGCACTGCAGACTTACCTACTCTTCCCTTTCCTCCCAGCAACGTGCTACAAGTGATAACTCAAACACTGTGCCTGACCTTGTCCAAGCACTGATTAAAACATGTGGGAGGCAGAAGGGTCAAGGGCTGGTTGTTCACAACTCTTCATAGACATCTGGTTCACCCAAGTTTCCAATTTGCTTTTAAAGGTGCAGGTGAGGGTTTACACTGACACAGCCACAATGCAGAGTGCCAGCGCTGTGTGCAGCAGCACCAAGGGCTGTCAGCACTAGCATGGCTGTCCCCCACTTCTGCAAAAGAACCAGACCACTGACAGCAAGGCAAGATGCAGTGTTTTGCTGCAGCTGATTGTCAGCTTCACATTCTCTTCTATCTCAACATGCAGCTTTGGGTTTCAAGCTTTTTTTTGTATGCTATGAGACATGCATAAATAAAAACGAGTGGTGTCAGGTAATTATCACAGCAATTTTGATATCCTCATGTAGCACCTGAACAAATAAAGGGAAGCTTTTCCTTTTGGAGACAGAACATGAAGTGAAGAATATGGAATTGCCCATATACTGCTGCCACAGGGATGCCTCTCAAACCATTTTATCAGCAAAAAGGAAGTAACGTCTGCTGGTAACAGCTAAAGATCACGTTCTAATTTTAGCAGTTGCAGTTAACTCATTCCCAATGGAGTTGCACTTACCGTGAGAAGGTTTCTAACTGCTTCAGCACTGAAAGGAAACAAGCATCGAGTCATTCATCTGCAGTTCTATATACAAATATGCTTTTTGGCCCATGAAGGGAAAGCATATGGAATTTGCTGCTATAACCCATTCAGGCAAACATGTCCACACATTTATTATAATGCAAATGCTGGAAGAAATTCTCATTTTCTAGTGTTTTGGCTGTCCCTATACAGGTAAGATCATCAGCATGCACGTGCATTCTGATATGGACAGAGCATGTGTATAGGAACTGCATGCATACTGCCTCCTGAGAACTGGTATGAACAGTTTTAATCAACAGATACATTTCCATTGACATCCAACAGCTATAGTGCTGATTTAACTCATAGATCATGTTTTAGATAACCAAACAGATATTAAGCTGATATATTACATTTTCATTAAACTTCTGGAGACCATAATAGGAACTGTCCATTTTTTCCCATTACTCTCAAACTCCCAAAATAGTGCTTCAGAATAAGAACTTAATTTTACACAATATAGTAATATTCCACATTAACTTCTAACAGGGCCTACAACAGAATTCACGTCACAGCTCATCGACAGAAGGGGAATAAAACCCAGAAAGCTTCTTTATAGTAAAGGTGATTTAGTAAAACTTCCTGAATAAAATTATTTTATAGTTATGAGACTACGTTGATGCTCAAAGCATGCACTTAATGCTAGGAAATAATATCTAAGTTTATTAAAAACAAATAGGGAGACTTCCTTGATGAGCAATGATAAATGTAAGGCTCTTTATAGTGTCACTTCTTCACTGAGTTGTGCAAATCTGTTTGCACGCCAGCATAAAACCTTCAACAAGTTATTTCACAGCCAGGAATGAGAATTTCTTTTTCTTTCAAAAAGGGTACTATTAAAGAAAATAAGAAAATGGTCAATCCAGAAAGTTCAACATAAAGAACTGAGGACATCTTCAGTTACTGGCAAAATCCACTGCGAGCACTGAGCATGCTCACAGGTATTCAGGAAGGGGATCTTGAGATAGATAGAGATATAGATTAATCAGGAAATTCATATGGGCGAGTCATTCATGGCACTAACATGTAGGCAGATGCAAACTCACTCTGTCCCTTCCCCAGCCTGGCCAGGGACTGTTAATGACTGGGGCTCAGCACTGTGCTCATGTACAGCCCAGCTCTGCAGAGGCCTCGGAATAGAATGGGAATTATGCTGGCATTTCTCCCCGGATGTGCTGATACTGATACCCAATAGGGCAGGAAACTGCACCAAATAGCTACAACTTCAAAACGAAGCTGAAATGTATGAGGATGCACATTACAGTGGAGATAAAATACAATCCTGTTCTACTCTGAAGATATGCTGAACTTAGATATAAAATCCCAGGGGAACTCCAAGGGTTACCTTGGAAAGCTTACATGACACAATTTTCACTGCTCTGAATATTTAGCTCCCTCAACATCCATTGCTGCAAGTATCTCAAATCTGTAAGCAATTAGATAGCTCATAATCAATACTGGAGAAATGTGATTGCTGCTTAAATTCAGAAGGGGGAAAGGTGATGCTAATTTCTTTAAAAATGTCTTCTAAAATAGAGCTATAGGCATAAATACATATATTCACCTTATCTAGTGATGGATAATAACATTTAGAATGCTCATATGCATCTTTGGCTTGGTTAGCATTGAAATAGGCACCTCATTTAGCTTAGCAGCAAGAATATTACACTTTTTTCCTCAGAGAATATCAACCAATTCTTGTAGTATAATTTTTAGCTAAATGTCTGAGAAAATGTACCCTCTACACTCCTTGCTTGATGTTTTATAGAAATATGCATCTTAAACACTAATTCACTGCAAAACCAAAACTGGTTTAGGATGGAGAAGGGAAAATTGTTGTGGACTGTTGGAAACAAAACCTTATACTGAAGAATAGCTACACTTTTGCAGGCTGTAATTATACCCCCAAATCCTTCCCCTTTTGCTGGAATTAGCATGTGTCTGTCTTCCACGTAGTTTTAGTTGAGCAAATACACAGGATAAAACAGACTGGATGCCGATGCAGCACAAAACAAATGCCCTGAAGAACAAGTTGTTCCCTTGACTGGGGTGATTATTTCTGAGACGAGTGTTCAGATCAGATCTAAACCCCCAACACTGCCAATTGGCAATGGATCTTTTGATTTTATTTCCCTTCTTTCATCCTGAGGCAGGACTGGATAAACTGCGCGCTGCCTTCTCACAAACATCTCCTCCCTCAATCTCTTCCCATCCCAATTACATTGCACTCAACTCTGACGTGGCTGTGTTCAGCTACATGAACTCCTATCATAGGACAGGCTGGCTGTCAGGGACTAGTGCCTATTCCCTCTTCCTCCTTCATCCCTAATTTGTCATCTTGGGCATCAGTGCCTTCCTAGCAGCAGAACCAGGCAGTGCTTTCCACTTCGAGCTGTGAAGGCTGAAGGCAAGTGAGAGCTCCAAGGAGAATGGGCTACATCGTCTCTTCTAAATAATCTTGCAGTAATAGTGGGGGGAGTTAAGGAATCAAAGGAAAAAGTCAGAAAGGAGAAAGAAAGGAAGGGGGATCAATGGGGATGAGGGGAAAAAAAGAAAGGAAAATTAAAAATAGGAAAGGAAAAGCCCTGTGAGAGAGAAGGAAAAGATTTCACATGAAACTGAGCTTCGAAGGATAAAAAGTTGCTGTCTCCCATTAGTTACAGGTTTGAAGATAAATGTGAGAGGCACTAACACTCCTTGTGTGTTGCTGTCACGCAAGATGTATGCACATGGACTGAACCTATGGGGTGAGCTCCTGTCAGGCTGGGAACGGCTGTACTGGTGGGGCTCAACCCACACCAGCCCCTGGGCATTCCCTGCTGCGCATCCAGTGATGCTACGTGGTATTTCCAGGCACCTTGTTTGAGGAGGTATCAATGAAGTCTGATTGCCCCATGCTCCCCATGCAATTTTAAATCATTAACATCAACTTCTAACGGTCTGGAGGAGGGCAGCAGCCACAAGGTTCTCAGGACTAAGCCTCTTGTTTACCCACCACCATGGGTGATGAGGGGGAGACAGTGCAAGTTCTGCCTTGCTGCTGGGTATGTTGTCTGCAGCCATGGGAGTGGGGAGGAGGATTTCCTAGGGTGGGAACAGGCAAGGGTATCATGGATGAGTGGTTTGCAAAGGCAGGGCTCATCTTACCCTACTTCCATCACCTAGAATTTAAACATCTAGTCTAGGCCTGTTGTCTGGGCTACCCCCGAGATCAGTGGGGACAGACAAACACTGTCAGTGTAGGACTCATCTCATCCTTTGACAGGCATTTCTCTATAATAACTGGGAAAAAAATACACTGCAAATTCTAAAGCTTCAGAAGGTTTCCAGTCTCACTTTGAGAGTACAATCACTAGGGATTAGTCTGATACTACTAAGCTCTTTGCATCAAACTAATCTGAAAATAGTGAATGCTATCAATCTGGGCTCCATATAAGAAGCCTAAGAGCTCATCATCCTCCTACCTGAATCCTCTCTGAATTGTCACATCCAAAGAAGAATGAAGTGCCATATTGAACTGATCTTGAAACAACCACCAAATTGTCACGTACTAGTATTTTGACTTCTCTAGCTGAATCTACCACAAACAGGGCTAAATATGCAGCACGTTTTCCCTGGTTAGCTCTACATTTACATCTGTTCTTTCTCTCCCTTCATTTTATTATTTACATTTTTGCTCAACTACCAGCTTTTCCAGGCTTCTGAAGTCATCACAGAAGTGAGGAGCAGTCTGACGTTACTTGCCATAATCAATGCCCCACTTAAGCAAGTTTTTAAAGGGTTTTAAGTAACAGGATCAGCAACCACAGCTTAAAAAAGTAGATTAGAGCTTCTTGTCTTAGTCTGAATTAAAGCAGGGAATGGCCAGATCTTAACAGGGGAAGAACAGAACAGAGGAGCCTACAGAAAACTGGTGACTCTTCCGTGATACCAAGCTCTGATCAGAAAAGCAAAAACTCATTAGATTTTACCAATTAATATAGGTAAATGAAAGACTGAAAAAGATGAGCCTCTTCATTGCTTTTAAAGGAAATAATAGGAAAAGATGCTATCTGCTGTTCATTTCTCTGTTGTGTGCTATGTATTTTTCAAGGTCTGAGTATTTTAGAGTGTAACCTACATTATGGATGCATTTACATTTTGCTGAATGATCACAGGTGCCCTAATTCTTCATTGTATATGAACTGCAATTTAATAACAATTAAAAAAGTTCTAATCTTTGCCACAGAGAAGTAGCCCTGGCTGAATAAGTCCTATTAGTGAAATATTGATAATATTAGTATGCACAAGACGCAAAGTCGGGTTTATCTTTTGCTGTAACATTGCTCTTCGCTGTAACAAAACCTCAAACAGTAATGTCAAAAGGTGTTACTCAAATAGTGGATCAATAACACATATTCAGTGAAGCCTCATTCCCTGCTTAGATTTTATTCTCTTACCTGGTCTCTTCTGTAGCTATAAAGAAACCATCATCTGAAGCATCAAGCCAATTTTGCCTCTGTCTCTTGATCACTGGAATGGTGCTTGTCTTAATGGCACTTGCACTGGCTTGCAAGGCCTTACCATTAGTCATATGAACATGGGGAGCAGCATGCTGAAATCATAGTAAAAGGGAAAGATATTTGCCCGAGAATAAGCATAATTCGGTTAACTAACTCTCCTGTAAAGGGCACCCTACACACAGCACCCTTCTGAAAAACCAGCTAGTCTTCCTCGACCAGTACCTGCGGGCCAGTTAACACCCTCTGCACATTGACATGCTTCATCCACAGGTCTTGGAGCCCTTTAAAACCTAAACTAACTATTGCTAATGCCATTTTGTACAGAGAGAAATTGAGGCCTGAATTAATGCCATGAACTAAGCAGTTCTGCAACAGAAACCCATTGATTTTAGGAGACAATTCATATTTTCTGAGCAAAAAACCAGCATCCCAACCAATGAGAAATGAGACTTGTTCTTTTCATCAAGTATGGCATTAATGTAATTGAAAAAAATCCATACTTCTCACTTCATAGGTCCTTACTCTGCTTTTCTTTTCAAATACAAGTCACTGAATAAGACAAGCAGTTTGGTCCTGCTGCTCACCTAAACAGAAGCAGAATAACAAAGGTTTCTATCACCTTGCCAGTGCCATGGTTCTTAAGTTTACCCACTAGTCATTACTAGAGCTGACTACTACGCATCTGCACTCACTTTAACACATATAACATTAAACATAAAGCAATGCATTCATTTTCCACTAAACCTTTACCTGGAATAACTGTGCAATGAGAAGTACTCAGACCTAATGAGGAAAGCTGCCTTCTGTGATACATGAAAAGAAGAGAGCGGAAGTAACGTTTTCTGTATCATACATAGATAACATTTTGGAAGAACAGCCCATGACAAATATATTAATCTTGGCAATTCAAAACTTGTTTCCCACATAACTGATTAGCAGCAGGACTGATAACACTGATTGGAATAGGTATTTTACAAAGACATTATACAAAGATGGAAGTTTGCTCGCTCTCACAGGGATTCAGCATCATGTTTTCTTAGGAAGAGGTACTATTTTCCTGGTGAAAATACTGGTATTCCACATTAGTGGTAGCATTTTGTCACATTCCTAAAACACACACAGCGCTGCACATTGCTGGGAGTACCCTCTAATGAGGGGCCCAATTCCACAGTCAGTAAGGAAGGGGCTGGCAGACCCACAAAGACTAGCAGAACAGAACACAAACCTGATCTCTTAACTGATGCCATAAAACCACAACAGCCCAAACTAATAATCAAGGGCCTCATTTCTTTTGTATAATTCTTACGCTGATATTCAATCCATTATGTTCACATTATGCCACAGGTTTCAACCCACTCCAATCCACAGTTTTCTCCATCCAGTAGGAAAAATTTTATGCATTTGATTAAAAATTCCAGTGTGCATTATTTTAGTGCAAGTGACTGAACAATCTCTTCTGTGATTCCTTAGACCCGATGTAACAAAACCAGACAAAAACAAGACACGAAATTTAAGTCATATGTAACTCTATCTTCGAGCTATTCTATTTTCCTTTGCCTTAGAGACAAACAAGGTTTATAGGTGAAGTTAGTTGCTGTTGCACATAGGGCTGTAAATCTATCTTTATAGTCCCTCTAGATATTCTTTCCATTTTTTCATTCACTGTCTAGACTGCAGTTTGGTTTTCACATATTGGTTTGTATTGGCTTGGGTGGAGAGGAAGAACTAAAGGACATGCTACTAGAAGAAATTCAGCTGTTAGAATAAATATAGGATCAAATACAGAGTCTGGATGAAATCAGACAGTCATACAGCTATTTCACTGGTGATCTCTTTAGTGTACAAAGTGGATAATGCTCAAGGAGTAAGAATTCATGCATGGAGAACACTGTCATACATCAGATTTCACACGTTATTTTTATCTGGCAACTGCCAGTGCCATACGTTACAGAGGAACATTTAAAGGCTTAGATGGCAATTTTTCGCTTGCTTCCCCAGTCAGAAATGGGTTTAAGTTATCAAATATAATGGTTTCTCTTTTCCCAGGCTCCTTCCTAACACACCACTGAATGCTTCCTTCACTCAAGATAACATGCACGGGCAAAAAATGTTCAGGAAACACACAAGGTACAAAGAGTCTATTTTCTACGGCATAAACGCTGAAGAACAGTTAAGCCTGGTGGAAAAAGTATGTGCTTTTTCATAATACCTTTTCCCCTGTGAGAGACAGATGTCAATACTAGTTCTGAACTTCAATTTTGTCTGCGTATTAGACCGTAACTCCTATTCCAGGCAAGAGATAACATTAGAGAAAATGGTGCAAGGGTCACAATATAATCTACTTTGTGTTGCAACATATTAGTTAGAATTTTTTCTTTCTTTCCTTTCTCCCCTAGTCCTTTCAAGCTATTTGAAGAAATTAATTACATTTCACTTCAGGACAAGAGCACATAAGATCAGTGTTCTCCAGTCTGTGCTAGGGACCACATTATCTTTAATTTCTAGTTAATTAAAACAATTCACGCTCTTGAGTAGAAAATCAGTTCATTAGTTCCTCTAAAAAATATATTTACCACTGTGTATAAAAAGGAGCATTCAATGCCACTGTCTTCAACACCAAGAGCAAAATGAACTTTCACACAAAGTACTTGTTAAATGCTTTTTTTCCAATGAGGAGGATGATGTCTAGCACACAGTTATGCCAGGAAGGTTATGGAAGCCTCAGGAATACTACCTGTACTGCCACAGAAGGCCTGTTCATAAAAAAAACCCCTGCATGCAGAAGGCTCCAATGGATTCATCAGAACACTGCAATCAGCAGCTCCATTTTGACTGTTGACTGTGGACATCACCAATAAGCCATGCTGTGACTGCAACAAAACCACATCATCAGTGGCAAATCACAAAGCAGCACCCAAGCAGCACGAGCTTTTTACCCAGCGTTTGCCAGCTGCATGTGGGACAAATCCTGAGTGACTCTTTCCTCCCAAGTTTTTCCTCGTCTCAATCCAGGTATGTTCATTGAGGGTATGTGCCTTTAAATTGTTGTATGCCCAGAAGACATCATAAGAAAAAACATCTCTTAGGTTTCTCAACTTGTACTGGCATAGAAGTGGCTGAACATTCATTCACTGAGAGCCACTGAAGAATGTGAAATCCAAATCCAGCTTTGAAATACAGACATAACACCAATAGGTGTTAAGAGTGTAAAAAACAATGGTGAAAGAAAAACCTTGTAGGGCTAAGGGAGCTCTGGTTCAGGCAGTGCTACATCCAACAAATACAAGTATTTAAGTCAGCATAGAGTTCTCTCTGGGAAGAGTTTCACTTGCTGAACAGGAGGTCTTCATGGTGCAGACACATCCTCAGCAAGCTCTGAGGCCAAAGTCAATCTTTTCAAGGTCTTCAGCGAGGAGGAGTTCATGGCAAAACCATTTGTTCTAATGTCTTTGCAGCTTCCCCTGACCCCTGCTAAAACCTTTCTCTGGATGCAACCATTCTCAGGGACTTGCCTCACAGGCTTGGAACACAGCTCAGTTTTTGAGAGCTGCTTGCAAGTGCTGCTCATCAACACTCACCTGGCAGGGGCATGGGTTTTCCATACACAAACATTCATTTCCAAGTGGGCAACCGAGATGCCTCCAATGTTTGATGGATGCAACAGTCCCTTTCATGAAGAAACTACATAAGGATGTGTTTCTCTGTCAAATCTTCTGCAAGTAGCAGCACAGTTACTAATTCAATCAGTTGCTTAACTGTAAATTAGGTCTTTCAATACTAAGCATAAAGCTTTGCAGTGTCTGGGAAACACAGTTTAGCTGTATAGCATGACTAGACACATGATGTGTGCTGCAGTGGCAGCTACCAGTCCAACAAAGTTTGGATACTATTGCAAAGACACCTACAAAGACGCTCCACAAACACCCTGTATTAAAGTGGCAACTTACTGCATCTTCATTATCTGTCCTCACTAGCACAAAGGTATTAAGAAGGATGTTGGAAAGTCCAGGAGAGGAATCTTGTACAAATTCAGAAACAGGACTCAGATCCCAAGTCACAGTTGAGGTTCCTGTCTCTAAGTTTCTCAACTTGTATTGGCATGGAAGTGGCCAAGCATTTATTCATTGAGACCCACTGAAGAATCTGAAATCCAAATCCAGCTTTGAAATACAGACATAACACCAAAAGGTGTTAAGAGTGTTAAAAGTAATGGTGAATCTTTATGCTGTGGCTGAAAGAATGTTTAACTGGACTATCACCAGTTCCGAAGTGGACCTGAATTTATCATCTCTTTCATTTTTCCCTATCTTTTCAAAAAGAAAAAACCATCCCCATTGCCTTAAATTAGCAAATTAAAATTTTTGTTGCATCTTTAACAAAAAAATCAAATCAAACTCAAAGCAAAAGCAGGTCACTACATGAAGAGCAACAAAATCACTAGAAGAAATCAGGCATGCTCAGGTGATTAGTAAATTGATGATTGAACCATATTGACTGGTTGAATATATTTTGCATTGACCTAATTCAATTGAATTATGTTAAATCATATTGATGTTGATATTGCTCATGTATTGATTCTGGTTTGCCACACCTCAAGTGTTCTTATTTGCAAAGGCATTAGTATTATACCTCTAATAAGCATGAAGGTTTGGGCCTGGTTTAGTTAAATTCGTAGAGATCTGAGGAATGCAGGAATTGCAAAGCACAGCCTCCACACAGCATGGAGTTGCAAATGTTGAATACCAGCATGCAGGCACACCTTCATTTTGGGTATAGGATTTCTTTTAAGAAACCTGAAGGCTATTTAAAAGCAAAATACTTTCCAACAACAGATCATATAGAAGAAATGAACTGGTCAGCACAAGTATCACTTTTGAAACTCCTGATTTGCTCTCAAATGTTTCACAAAACACCCAGAAGAGATGTAACACTGAAAATCCAAGTCGATGACTTGTCTATGCAAGGGAAAAAACCAAACCAAACCAACAAACAAAAACCAGACAACTGACTTTCCAAAGCATCTGGGCTAAAATACGACAGTGTTTACAGCCTCTGTATTTCATGGAAGTTACATTAAGGCTATCTAACCTCTGAATAAACCTTGTCTTTAAAAGCCGCATCTGGAAGTAAACACTTACTTGTATACATTAACAAATTAGTAATGAAAGCCTAACCAAGGCATCCATCCACAGTATAACAGGAAATTCATTTTTTATAGTTAACCCGCCTTCCCTGCCCTCAAAGAGAACTTAAACATATTTCTAGATTTTATGTTTATGAACAAGAAACTGGAGCAAAACCCAGGGAGACATCGCTGTGTTTAAATACAGAAGAATTCTTGTAATGGCTTCAGAACAACTGCACCTCTTTCTCCTTAGCAAAGTACACTCTGTTCCTCATTGGTTTTAATTTTAACTGAAATCTGAATCTTCAGAGACAAGATCAGATTTAATGCTTGACTTACGTTATTCCACCACCTATAAATGCATCTTAAAGGGAGTTCAAATACTTTGCCTTGGTAAGACAAAAGTTTCTTTTACACCAAAGTATCCAGGGCAGTACAGAGATTTGCTGCTACACCTCTCATATTCTGACTGACCAAAGACTCTGCTTTGACTTTTCCTCTGTTATATTAACCATAATCAGTCAGAAAAAGGGGACTTTATTTCAGAGTAATTCCTTATTGCAGTAGTCACTCACAAATGGATCTCAGCAGTATTGCTTTACTTTGCCTGTACTGAATAGATAATCTCATACTGTTTCTAATGTAAGGAATAGTATATTTTTTGGCTTTACTAATATACTCCACCTTCTCATTGGAGAGTATGAAATTTTCCATTACACACGCAGTTATGCTTTAATTGCACAGAAGAGTGGGCATACTGTTATAACCTTTTCATACTAAGCAGAATACTTACTTTTACTTGCACTTAAATAAAGTGCAATGGACAATTACTGCACACTGACTGCAGAACATTAGTCTGAGTGGTCTGAGTTGTCAGCAGAGACATTTGGAGAGGTTCACAACACAGGAACCTCAAGAATTTATGTTATTTAAAAACCTTTCTCTTAACCCTTTAAAGTTTGGCCATGTTTTGATGTGAAGAGAAATTCTGTTCCCTGAGTCATTACCTTTTTATTATCCGTTTGCACTGGATTATTAATGACTATTGATGTTAAAGCCAATGAACTATATTTACCCTTTGTCCTCTGTTGAATCAAGTATCTGTGTGGGAATGTACATGTCCAACAGATGTTGTACATACAGAAGAGGTAATAAACTTGAAGGGACACCCTGACAACTGTAGGAATAAAAACCAACAAACTCACATCATAGTTTATTGGGGTTTAGTCCGAAAGTTCAAAACTTGCCTCAAAAACTGGTCTTTTTCCAAAAGGAAAAAGGAGAGCCCTCTCACCAAGTATCTACAGGGCAGGCATGAACCATTCCCAGTCAGAGAAAAGTGTTCTTTATGTGACTTTTTGTTCAGTCTTTATCTAACTTTATGAGAAGTCTGAAACAGAGATTGATAAAACCTGCCACCCTATAAAAACCCAAGACAGACACTTAAGTTCATGACATTTTTATGCACAGAACTTTTCAATCTCTCTTCTGAAGATGTATCTGTCTGTTTAAACTCCTCTCTTTCTGGAACCTGAACTATCAAACTCAAGGTAAAGTCAGAACCTGGCCTCATAGGAAATTACTCAGCTGTTGTTTTGAACATTAAATGTGCTCTGACATACGATACACATAGAATGCAAGAGTTTTTATCAATCAACATTAATTTGACATCATCAAAAAGCACTCACAAAACAGCACTACTACTTAAGCTACTCAACCTCCCATTTTTTTCCAATGCAGTGGCAGACTCATTTTATCTATACAGTGATACTGGACTTCATAAAAAATCATGCCAATAACTTAGTATACTATTATATCTATTCTGTTTTCAAAAGAAAACCCCTATCTATAGATTGATTGATACCTATAATCTCCTCTATACTTACCATTATTGTTCTTGTTGTATGGCTGGATGATTCTGGAAAACAAAAGAACCACAGTGGATTAGAGTATTGTCTTTATCCATAAAAGCCCTATTTTCTGATGCTCTGCCTGAAGGCTAAGATACTGCATGTCAGCTACAACAATGAATACATCAGAAATGCAAAGACTGGAATGATTTCTCATGAAACGAGCATGAGGATCATCACAGGTCCTGAAAACACACAGCACACTCTAGTATGCTGTGAACTGCACACTCATTTGTTTTGTGCAATTATCCTCTTCTGCAGACAAATATAAGAAAATGGCAATAATTCATAATTCATGGTTGAAGAAGTGTATTTTTCATTTTGCTTTTAACATACGGCATCATTTAACATGGGGGATTAGCTCTGCAGGGGGAAAAAATACAAATAGCATCAGCATAATTCCATTATGATTCCCATTTGAAAAAGCTCTATTAAAACATGACAATCCTTTTTGAGAATTTGGAGATGGATTCTCAGTTTGAAATTGACAAAGTCTACTGAGAAGCGTAACAACCACAGATCTGAATTATTCTCTCCTACATGATAAATCAGGAGTCGGTCAACTGAACACACCATTATATTGATATAATATCACTGAGGAAACACTACTAGGCCAACAGCGAACATTGATTTCACCCTGCTCTTTAAATTAGATTAGATTTGCTCACCCCCCCCAAAAGAACAGAAATCTCAACCTGTTTGGCTTTAAAATGCAATAGTTGTCATATTACAGACGTGCTCTTTTTGGAAGCAACTAAACATCCTTCCAACCTGTTAAAAAGAAATGCAAGGAAGTTCACTGCTGATCTCTAACATGCAAGATAGTGCTACCAGGAATCTTACAGACTTGCTCAAGAATTTGGGTAAGGCATCAGCTATAATACACAGACTTCTTAAGGAAAAGCCATTTAGCAACACTACATGCAGTTCTGGTTAAAACGTCCCCAGTTCTGCATGCATTGGATCTGCAGAGTCTCAATTCTGCAAGTGAGATAAATGTACAATAATTAAAATGGGTTATTCTTGCCCTGGTTCCAAATTGTGACTCTTATGGGGCTCCCAACTGGCATCACTTACACAAAGGATTCTCCAGGGGTTTTGTTATTGTTGGAAGTAGTATTAAAGAGATTCCAAGGACATGAGAAAGAAGAGCTGCACATCCTTTCCTGAAACAACTGTATCAAACTGCTGTTTTTCTTTCATTCTGAAAAGTCATCTTAACCAGTCTGAAGGTATAGTTTAATCACTGATGGAAACAAAGACAAGCCATTTTAAACATCTCAAACCATTTCAAAACTTCAATCCAATGTTCAGTAATCCCTGTATCTAATTTCCATTTGTACAAGTCTTCATCTTTTATAAATCTAATTAAAAAATAAAACAAAATAAAATATAAATATCAGTAACTTCCCATTAATAACAGTTCTGTAACATAAAAACCAACCTAAACCCACCAATATTTTAGTTGTGAGCTCCTCTCCCAGCGCCCTTTTCCTCTCTTCTTCTGCACAAAAATCATCATAGATAAAACTACATTTAGGTCACCAGTCCTCCAGGCATGTTTTCAACCGGTAGTATAAAAACGGAATACTGGGACAACCTACTGTTTCCTTATACCTGAATATATTTGGCACTGTTATAAAGCAAGAGAAGACCACAGTCAAGTGAAGAACTCTCTAATCTGTTTGATTTTTACCTTCACAGTGAAGTTATTTTTGCTGTTACAAGTTTGTTTATTTTTTTGACATTCCAGTGAAGAACATTTCAGGACCAAAATGTTCCTGAGAAAACCCAGAGACTGCATCCATGGAGGTACAACCACCTGAGTAACTCTTGAGACAGGGACTCGCCCTGTTTGTAAGTCAAACTACCCAGAATAAAACCCCCCAGCCAACCTATCTCCAGAAGCACAAGTGCATTTCCTATGAGGAATCCTCAACTTGAGCAGAATGATCAAGTTAAACTGAAAGGATGGGGCTGCTTCTCTCTCGAAATATGGAGAAGACACATTACACAGCACTTCCAGTCACCCCAAAAAAGATCAACGTGAACAACCAGAAATCCATACATTTTATATTCAGATACCACAGTAATAAAATCCTGGCTCTTACTCACAGGTGCTATGCTTTCCATGCCAAATCTATAAAAACTATGCTTAGCCATGATTGTCCCAAAATACTCAGTCACCCCTCCCAGTCCCACAGACAACTGAGTGAGAGCATCTCCCTGAAGGGACCTGAGGTCGGCTGGATGTTCCCCAAGGCTGTTAAACAGCATATTTTGAAGAATACTTTGCAGACACTCTTGATGCAATTCCCACAGCTGTATATGCTCCAGGGTATTGATAACCTGTTCATAAAACTGAACAAAAAATGAAGAACTGTTATATCTATATATATAAAATAGCTTCATGCAATAAAAACATCCTCTGATTTCTTTTTCTTAGCTTTTATTGCTATTGTAGATACTAAAATATCATCTAAGTTGCCAAACATCTTTTACGAAGACCTGAGTATATTCATAAATAAAAAGCTAAGAAAGAACTGTTTAATAAGTACTTGGTCAAAATAGTATCTGGCAGAGACTACTAATGAAGGTGCCACTGTTGCACAGCATGAAATCTTACATACTCGCATACCCACATATTCAAACCTCAGAACCGAGACCCTTATTACTTCCAGAAAATAATTAAACCCCTATTTGGCAGGGTTCTGACCAACGTTTATGCATGAACACACCCCAGCCAATCCTGTGGAAAAGTTTGCTTTTAATTAAGGCAACTAAGGAAGAAAAGCTCTTGCTTCCAATTAAAAAGGCAGTCATTGTGCATTCAAACAGTTGTGTTTTACAAAAGGTCTGCCCACCAATGCAACCTCCAACGCAGCTTGAGGGCAGCAGAGCCTATCTAAAAACTGTCTTGGTGTTCAACGCAAAAGAAATACACTTTTGGGTTTTCAGCTCTATCTGACAAGTTTTGTAATGCCTCAGGGAATTTAAATAACTACACTTGAATTTCACTGAAAGTGGCACCAGTTGGGCACTTGCTTTATAAATGAGTTCTTAAAGCAAATGACTATGTGCAAGGCAATATTTGTATTTGCACTTCTTCAGCAGAAAGGAAACTCCAGGATGCAGGATGGTTCTCCCCTTAGGGCCAGTGAGATAAAGGGGATTACTCCACTTTAAACAGAAGTGGTCAGACAACATCACTAACAAGGCGTTCTGGTGATGAGATGTGAGTAAATTACCATAAATGCAACTTCAGTACTGACAAGATGCTTAGAAGTTTGTGATTGTGAAGAAATCGATGCACTTATGGCAGAAAATGCCTCGGATGCTCATATGCTCCTTCTGCAACTTATCTATTTGAGCTCAAATAGAAATAAGCAGTAAAAAGACATTTTCTCACATTAGAAGTAACTGCTTTACCAACCATACTGAACAATGAAGTGTTTCTTCCTGTTTACAGGCACTAGGAGACTATGAAATTTCCCACTGTAAAATCATCTAAGGCTAAATCAGAAGTGCACTACTAAGGGAGGTGCCAGCTATATTTTGAGTTTACCTATTATCCACCAGCAATATATATTTTATTTTCCCTTTAGAGTTCTTCAAACCAGAAGAGAAATAACATCGTTAATACCAGTCCAGCCCTATTTCAGCTGTTCATAGTTATGTTTATATATGCTATTCTTTAGTTCTGCTGATAGGAAATTTATTTGAGATGCATCTTTCTCTTCCATATTAATGAGGCCACCAACAATAGTAGTGGTGAAATGTGTCCTTTTTCAGAACCTTCCAGAATAAATATGCTTGAAGAGAATGTCATTTAGACATGTAGAAAGTAAAGGCAGCCAGGCAGTAGCAGCAGTGTTTAATCCTAGTGCCACTCACAGCTCATCACAGTGCACAAGACTTATAAAGAAACTTTTCACCCAGGATGGACCACTTCAGGAAATAAGCTGAGAAAGGAAGACTTTCATTATGCCTTCTCCATCTGCATTATGAATATTTTACATAACCAAACATAACTGGGTTTTTTCCTACCAGTTTGTAGCAACAGAACAAGTGCTACAAAATATTATTTAAAAAAATAGTTTTATATGTGTGTGTATCTTATGACCATACTAAGAATGACTTTGGCTTAATTTGAGAGAGACCCTTAGTCTTCCAAGACAGAAATTTGAAACACTGGAGAAACAATACACAGATGGGAAAAAGAAAAAGCACAAAAATGTTCAAAATTCAAATGTTCAAAATGATCACAAAGCATTTTCCCCAGACACAGGAATCTTTCTGGCTCCACTGCCCAAGCACTTGCTGAAGTTGGCTTCCCTATTGCATTATGCATTGAAATTATTAAGAACTATTGCTCTGTAATCACAGCTTACAAAAAATAATCAACCTACAAGACAGTAATCACACACAGAAGCACTTTAAAGTATGAACGCCAGATCTCAAATCCAGAACACATAATTCCTGAGGTAATACGCTGCTAATCCTTTTACCCAACAAACAGGATTCTCTTTCTGCAGCTTTAATTCTTTAGAATAATACTAGGGAAAAGCAGTGATTCCAGGAATTGGGTTCTGGTTATCTGTACTGTGTTTTAAACGTTAACTTAATTATAGTGGTGGTGGTATTGTTTGCTGGTTTAAAAGCTGATTTATTCTGCCAATCAGAAAAGCCAGTGTTACTGCAACTTCATGCACGCTTCATGCACACACATTACCTGTGCATGACGCTCAAGGTGGTGCACAAACTCATGGTTTTGTGGGGTTTGTGAATAAGTGTAAGCAAAGAAGCCTGAAAAACCTAAATACAATCTAGATACATTTTTGAGAGAAAGGAAATAAAAGAAAAGAAAAAAAACCTATTCAATTTCTAGTGTACTTGCACCCTTAGATGCAGGAAGCCTGGAAAGTAGAGTTGAATGGAAACTGTGTTTTGACTTTGGCAAAATCAAAGCAATTGCTGTCTCTATTTGAAAAGCCCACACCAAGTGCTG